ACATTATTCTTTCAACATTCCTCTACTAGCAATATATAGCAATACTGTCTGGTTCATCTCTGTAGAAGCCACAGGAAAATATCAAGCTTTAACACAGGTATCTCAGCACCACCATGGCCAGCAAAACCAATGTGTTCACACCCAGTGCTCTACAAAGAGTCCCCAAACACCTGTGGTTGCTTCCACCACAGCAATACTATGCTTCTTCATAGATGCAGCTCACAGTGACAAAACCCCATCAGAGCTCATTATATATCACAGTGGATGGGTTGGTTGGTTGGTTTTAAAGCAGCAAACCAGATGATGCTAAAACACTCTTCAAACAACTGACACACTTCCTGGCCCATCAAAGGCATGAATGCAGGGACAGGATCACAAAGGTGGCTGTGTCATGACAACTCCTGGATGAAGACTAGAGCACCCAAAGCATATTTTGAAGATGCTACAGCTGCCACACACTGCCAGACTTAGGCAACTTGCACCCTGTCATCACTGAAAAGGAACATGGAAGCTGTTACACTCATTGTCTTTGACGGATGAAAACTCAAGATTCTTTCCCCTTGTTTCATTAAAGCCTTCCTGCCCAGCAGTATCTCCTTTCCTCAACTGCAAACTATCTATTTCCCTCCTCTCATTCACAGGCCATTTCCAAAAACAGTTAAAATGCTTTTAAAAAGCAGTATTTATTAAAGGGCTGCACCAAAAGCCCTACAGAAGTTCCCAAGTCACACAGGCTTCTTAGGTTACAGTCATTTCTGTAGCATGTCAATGCTCATTCACTCATCAAACCATACTCGGCCTGTCCCAAACAGCCCAGAGTTTCTAGTTAATACTTCCACAGTGCTGTTCAGCTTATGGGGGTGAAGTAACATCTTCCCTTTGAAGCATCAGGGCTTATGCTCCTCCTCCCTCAGTTCAGAAGGAAATTCCCCTCCCAGCTCAACGGCAGCATTGCGGGTGCCTGAAAAGCAGCTGCGCTGTTTTAACGAAGGGGGCTGAGTAGAAAGCTACTTTAGGACTCTTAACTCATCTTCTAAACACTATCAGCAGCAAGTTAAAGAATCCCAGCTGGCTGGACAAAAGCATCCTAGGCAAAGGCGGGCTGAGAGGCAGCTGGAGACACACAAATAACCTCGCAGTGGAAAAATAAAAAGGTAGCGATTACACCCCTCCCAGTTGCCATTTGCCCATGAGGCCTGTGAGGAAGTAGTTTATCTTCCCACTATTTTTATTTCTTGCTTCCAAGTGAACTCTGGTGCTGTTTAGTACTCCTAGATCGGCTTTTTGCAAAGGAAACAAAGCAGAAAGTCGCGTTTAAACAAAAAGCTGGTGTGAAAATAAAATGTAATGGTCCAGAATGGAAGCTGTGTAGAGTTTGCAAGATTTCAGGAGAGATAAAACAGAATCCAAGTGTAACTACAAAGAAAAGGGGAGGGGATAGGACAATGAAATGAAAGGTATTTGCTGTCTGTGACATACTTTTCTCACTCTGCAATGTACTGGCTTTCCTAGTTGAAGAAATGTTTCTGCGCGTCACAAAGGAATTGGGTGTTTTGTTTGGGTTGTTGGGGGTTTTTTTCCCCAGGGTGAAACCGAGACCAGGCAGGATTTGCAGCGCCGGGGCAGGCAGTGCGCTCGGGGCAGGCAGAGCGCGCACA